GTGGGATTTCCAGTGATAAAAGTGTGCCTGTAGCTAACTGTTCCTGTAGGAGCTGCAGTTTGTCACCTCCATCCTCCTGGACATGGCTGTCCCCTACCCTGGTCCTGTTCACTGGGATGGCCCCCAGCCGGGTTGGGGTCACTCATGGGAGCTGCTGTGCCAGCATGGGGGGGTTCTGCCGGAGCAGAGATGCAGCAGGGACAGGAGCCAGGTGAGCTGGTACCCAGCACTGGGGGATGAGCAGGTGGCAGCTCACAGTGTCGGGCCTGGCTGGGGCTGCTGGAGCGTGTTCCTGTGTTCCTGTGTCCCAATAAACCACCCTTGAACCTGTGTCTGTGTGTGCTGTGTGTGCTGCTGGCCTGAGACCCCCTGGGAGGGTGTTGGGGGGCTCTGTGCAGCTCTCCTAGGGTGGCTGGAGCCCTAGGGGGCTGGTGGCTGGTGGAGGTCCAGGAGGTGGGTGGGGTGCTCAGGACAGGGTCCCTGGCTGCACCCTCTGCTCCTGGAGCAGGTGGAAGGAGTGTGATGGACCTACTTGGGCTGACAGCAGTGTCAGGGGGCTTTGGGCGTTTGGTGGCAGGTCACCCCCTGCCAGCATTCCTACCCTCTCCCTGAGCATCCAGACTGGGCAGCCACGAGCCCTGATGGCTGGTGGGTGTGTGGGGACTGTGGGGCTGGGGTTCCCTGAGGCTGGGAGAAGCAGGACTGGTCGTGGCGGTCACAGTGACCCTGCGGGGCTCCTCCAGTCATGTGCCCCATTACCTCTGGCTCAACTGCTTCTCCATCTGGCCACCAGCCCCTGGGCTGATCAGAGGCCCTTCCTCTTGCTCCCCAGCTGTGCTCTGGGCTCTGCCTCCACTTCCCCTGGCAAGGAAACCGTGACTCTGCCTGGAAGGAATTTTCCTGCTGTTTCCCCTCCCTGCAGCTTAACCATTCCCCAACTGGCCACGAGCCACGCCGGAGTTCCTGGAGGTCAAGGAGCTGGGCAACCTGCTGCGTCGTTTTCTCTGCCATCCCTCCTCCTCCTTCTCCTCTTCCTCCCGTTGGTGCCAGAGCAGGCGGTGAAGGGTGCAGGTGAGTGGTGCCCAGGCCGTGTCCTGGGGCTGGGGTTTGGGGTCTGGCAGTGCTGAAAATGCTCTGGCTCACACTGTAGCTCAGCGAGGTGCTGTGTCCCGTTCTGTGCCAGGCCGGGGGCATGGGGAGCTGGGGGTTGGCTGCCATGGGCTGTGCCTGTGTCCGGCCCCATGCCACAGCACCCCCCCGCTGGTGTAGGTGTTGCCGTCCA